ATGATAATTATTGTCATGACAATTAAAACATCTAAATTATATATCATTATTTGGCTATTGCATTCTTTAATGTTTGTGATTCAGTACAATATCTAAAAAATAAATGTATAAGAGTTGTAATTGGACTCGCCACAGTTGTGTAGGCCGAAACTAAGCAGTTTGGTTATCAATCCTTCATTAAAATTTGTCATTTTAAAGGAAACAATACTCCTTCATAAAATTCTGCAAAGTAGGGTTTGAAATCTTTGTACTACTTTTATAAATTATTATTTTTTATTAATTAACATTAATAATTATTAATTGAACTATTAATTATTATTATGGTTGAACTCAACCCCCTTGTTTCTTTTATTTTTTGACAACCCTACTTTTTCTTATTTAATAGAAATTTTTTTTATTTACTTGTATACATTAATTTTTTAAATTTTCAATATTGTATTGAATCCCAAAATTCAAAAAATGCTTTAGCCTATCCATAATTTAGATTTTTTATTGCAATGACACGTTATTCAATCACTACTAGCTGAAAAGTCTTATTTATATATATCACAATAATTAATTTACATCATAGTATTGTAGTAGAGCAATCAATAGGTACAGAGGCATAATTATTATTAAAATTCTATTTACATTGTAGTCTGCCTGTTACCATTTTCTGCAAAGTAGGGTTTGATAATTTTGTATTATTTTCATGAATAAATTATTTTTTTTTAAATTAAAGTTTATTATTATTAATTGAACTATTAATTATTATTATGGTTAAACTCAACCCCCTTGTTTCCTTTATTTTTTGACAACCCTACTTTTTCTTATTTATAGAAATTTTTTTATTTACTTGTTTCCATACTTTTTGTTAAATTTTATTAATTCATAATCCTTTTTATTGATAATTATAATTTTTGCCTTAGGTATTAATTCATTAATGGAAGAAAAGAATTTTGAAATAAGAACCATAAGAAGACCCACCACATTATAGAAACAGTTTTTGAATTTTAGAATCATTAATTATATTCATAGCCTAACTCATAATTATTAATCAATAGTTGTCATTACTAATATCTTTGTCCGATTCTGAAACTATTTAATAACATTCAGCTTCATTTGCCACTTTCCCGCTCACAGCTCAAACTTTTCCGCAGTTTACGAGACCTGCATTGTGGAAATACACATTAATAGACCACATGAATACATTCCAATGTGCAAACAATTATTTTTGTATTTTTAATGGCACACAATAAAAGATGCATTGGCAAGCATTCATTTATATTGACTAAAGAAAGTACTTACTGTGGCCATTATTAATGATATAATCATCAAGCTAATCTACAGTATGTAACCTAAAATCATAACCTATAACAAAAATACATAAGACATTTCACAATACTCTCCATCTTACTACATATTCCATTGCTAAGACTACAATAATATGAAACCTATACAGATGTAAAATGGCACCTACTACTGCAAGATACAACTACTGATCAAGGAGCTGCAACAAAACATTAAGAAAGAAATTAATTTATTTTCAACAATCTAAATCTAGAAGTGCCTTTAATTATATTTCACATTCCAATATCAAGCAAAAGTATTGCTGAGTCAGCAAATTATTTCCAGCTGTAATTACCTGTAAAGCATAGTAATAGAAACATATCAAAAGCAAGCAATGTAAACTCACAGGCTAATAATAACAATAGCACTTACCAATCACATCAAACCTCACTCTTTAACACCACATTGTAGTCCTTGTGCCAAGTACATAAGTACCTATAAAAAGTATGTATGTGACATACTAACTAACAATGATAATGGTAGCATCTACAATGTTTCTGATTGGATCATACATGGCATGTATTTTAGACATAATATTGCTTACTAATGCTATCCTCATTTAAGATACTTTCATGACCTGCTTAAAGTGTAACTGCATTTATTTTTTGGGTATTTTTTTATTTGCTAAATGTGTTGCTTATAACAAAAAATGGCCTTCTGCAACTTTTCTCTGGTTAAAAAAAATATTCCCTGAGATTTTGAGCTTCAAAGTTGCACTTTTTGCTTCCTGCCATTTTACTTCCTGTCGGTGGGTGCGGCTTTACGTGACGTCACAAGAGGCATTGGAAGAGTCTGTCTGCTTTATAGCTATAGGAATGCCCAACCATTGTGTGGCATTTGGCTGCAGTAATTCAAGTAATAAACATAGCATCAGCACTTTCCACTTTCCTAAAGACCTTGCTCTAAGGAAGCAATGGATTTTGAATGTAAAGAGGACAAGAGATCACTGGAAAGGACCAACTTCCAGTTCTGTTATATGCAGCTGTCACTTCACTGAAGACTCTTTTGAAGAATCATTAAAGCACTACCAGTCTTTTAGCATCAAGAGAAAAAGGAAGTTGAAGCCAAATGCTATTCCTACTATATTTAAGAGGCAATGTGAGAGCGATGTTGAGGAACCTAAGTCAAAAAGAAGGAATGCAGTAGAGAAAAGAAAGAAACATAGGGTATGATTGCCATAGCATCAGTGATAATGTTTAATCAGTAGCGTTCACTTGCAGATAGTTAAAGATCTTGTTACTTCTAGCTTGCCAGCATGTGAAATGAAACTAAGTATTTCACTACGGTGTGTTAAAGTTCAATGCATCTCAGGATACAAGCACTCAAGGAGAAGTCTTACATAAGCATGTCAAAGTTCAAACTATTCATAAAAGAAGATCAAAAGGTATGCAACATTACAGCAATAGGATTGCTCTATATGGACTTATTAGGAATACAAACCAGCAATACTAATGTGGAAACAAAGGAGATTGGAATCCAATGTAATTTAATTGATACTAATGACATTAGTGTTAGTGATGATGACATTAATATAAGTGATGCTGACAATGATTATGATCATTTTGACTCCGATAACACCGGTACTACTACAGACCTTTCACTTTCCTCATTGCAATCAGCAGATGACAATCATTTGCAAAACCTAGTTTCGGTAGCAAAGTACCTGGACTTTGAGACAGCTTCACTCTCGTTATTCCACTTCTGTTGTCAATGCCATTCATCTTCCGTATCAATACAAAAGTTAGTAATAGGATCATTCCTTCGTATTATACAAATGTGAGGTCTGTGAGTCAACAAATACTTGGGATAGTCAGCCATTTCTTAACAACATACCAGCAGGAAATATATTATCTCATCATCAATTCTTTATAGTGGATGCCTTCCGGAGAAAACTCTACGATTATTCTGTAATTTTGGCTGTGTAACTATTTCTAATAGGACATTTTATGATCATCAGAAGATGTACCAACTGCTGTCCATTTCGTACATCTGGGATAAATATCAGCAGGCTGCATTTGAGCAATTAGCATCAGAGAATACGCCTCTCATATTAGGAGGAGATGGTAGAGCAGACAGTCCCGGTCACAGTGCCAAATTTGGCACATATTCCATGATTGAATTAAATCACAATGTCGTTTTAAATATCCAAGTTCAAGTAAGTAAATTTTTTCATGCAGTTTAGCTTACTGTTTTACTTAGAGCAATGAAGTTGGTGGCAGTTACCACATGGAATAGGAGGGATTGATCAGATCAGTGGAAAAGCTACAAGGAAATGGTTTGATCATAGGGCAACTGATAACAGATAGACACAGATCAATAGCTAAATGGATAAGGGAGGAACTGCCACATGTAACACATTACTATGATGTTTGGCACATAGCAAAAGGTATACATAATGTAATATACTATAAAATGGCTATGGCTATTTCTTAGGAGTAAAGAAGTTATAAGCTATAGGCAAGAAGAAAGGTTGTGAGGAAGTAAACAAATGGATAAAAAGCATTATTAACCATCTATACTGGTGTGCTATGTCTGGCTCAAATTACAGTGCAGATTTAATACGGGATAAATGGTTGTCTCTAATAAATCATATGCACAACAAGCATACATATACTGGTTTATTTAAAAAGTGTGCTCATGACAGAATTTACAAAAGAAAAACTAAATGGATAAAGCCACGAGAGTTTCATATATAATTGTCATGTCAATTTATGGTAATTACATGCACATGTAGATACAAAAGTTAGTGAGAATCTTAGTGACTTACTGACCA